TTTCCGCAAAATTAAATATTGTATATATATATTTTTTAAAAATAGTATAATATTGATTGTTGTCACTTATGCTCCAGAAGATTGAATTGTGCACTTAGATGAATGTTGAGTTATTTACTAGGAGAGATAACGATTAATTCCCAAAAATAACTTGATAAAACTTGTTACACCCAGCGTTCTAATTTGTTTGTCTTGTATATCTTTCCAAGATGTAATCCAACTTTTTTCAAAGGAGGAAATTTTACTAAACTTTTAAAATAGTAAGTACTGTATTAAAAAAGAATTGATTAGACCAATAGCTGTTTTCGTTTTGAAAAAGGTGGCTTATAAATGAGAGAATCTTAGGTGCAATGTGGTACTACGACAGGGTGCCGAATCACATATGATTGACATTTGACCAATGTAATTAAGTTATTTGGAATTTGCAGTGGACTTCATCAATGCAACTGAAATGTTGGACCTTTCTATTTTCTCTAAGATAGGTTTTGTCAAAGCCACAAAAGTTTACCATACTTTACTGTAATTTTATGGTAGTTAGATAGTAAACTCCTCATAGTAATTGATGATATTGTTTTCGCTTCTTTAGAAAATAATAGGATAACTTGCTTGCTTTCAAAATATATGAAAGAATTTGGAGTATACGGTCAATCTCTCTAACTTACGGTTTCAGTTTAGAAACCAATTTCTTAATTTTTGAAAGCATTGTACAATTACATTTTTTATTAACTATATAGAAAACACTATAAGTCATAGATTTTTATCATTTTAAAATGTAAGAAATGCATTAAAATTGAAGTCAAACAAAAAAATTGATTTTCAAATAGGTAGTAATTAATTTTATGTTAAATGAAACAAGATGGAATTTATATAATAATCACTTGACTGTAGTATGACATTTTAATTTCCAAATTAAATAAAGGGAGGAAACATGTATATTTTCCTTCACGTTTGATTCTGTAAAAGGCATAATTTTCATCATCTTTCTAATGTTGTGTACGCTTTAACCTATTTCACCATTTAGATAACACATACATGTGGATATTTTAAAAATGGTTTCATCACCGTTGCAGCTATAAATATTAATTACCCATAGCAACGTACGAGTGGAAAAAGTCCAGGAAGATCCTTGGATAGAGAGCGTGGAACGGGTTTTTCAAGCATAAAACAATCTTTTATCTATGCGTTTTATGACAACACACATAAAGCGATTTTGTCATTGTTCTTAATCCCAAACACATTTTCATCTTTTCGTTCTCAATAATCTCCAAAAAAAAAAGACTATCGAGATTTCCAAGCGAATCGAAAAAAAAATCAAGGCATGAAAAAACTTATCTATGAACCGGTTATTTCCACCCCTACACCATCCGAACAGTGTGATAAGATTAGTGGGATATTTTGTTAGACACGCATGGAATTTGATAGGCTTTAGGCACACTTACTACTGAACGTCTGAACGGCCAGATAGTTGTTTATGACTAAAATATTAATTATTGTCATTATATTGTTGCGTGTGTTTGATTTCTTTACTTTATGCTGTGTTTCTATACGGCTGCATTATAGCGAAACTTATGACTTGTATCAATGTATGTTGTGCTTATTTTTTTTATGCTTCTTTTTATATGGTAAAAACGAGGACTCGTCACTTTCAGGATCTTCCGGAGTACCAGAGAAGATGTATAGTGAAGAAAAGAAGATATATGGAACAACTTTTAAAAAAAAAAAAAATTTATGATGATTGATGGGTAGATTAAGCTGGTGTTTTTTTTCATCTTTCAAAAATGGGATTTCACCCGTTTCCTGTGTAACTTCTTACTGCTGGTAAGTGGTAACACAAAATATGAAATTAATAGGGAGGATATATATATAGTACGTGAGAGGAAGTATATGTCTTACCCTTTTATGTGTAATTCTCCATGGTAATATGGTATGATTGTTATCTTTCTCTTTTCTCTGATCCTTTGTAAAATTTCTCCAATGTCTCTGCTCAGATACATCCTACAAGTTGAAACTACTGAAGATTCATTATTTGACCGAGTAAACGGTCAACCAAATTTTGCACATTAAAATGGATATGTTATTAGCGTAATGCAGTTCCCACACATTCTGTTTTCTCTTGACCATGGAGACGTGAGAGGTTTTAACAATACTTATCTTTAATCATGAGAATAATACTAAGCTAACATGATAAAAAAATAAACATTAATTACAGGAAATTGGTACGTGTAACCCGTTTTCAGGGTTTTTAATACCAACTTACTTTTAAACTTTTGCTTAATGTAGTCAACCCATTAGGATGTTGTTCGTATAAAATAGTAAAAGAGGAAAATTATCTTTAAGCCGAAGTTATATTATGATCATTTGCAAAGTCTGTAATTAATTTATTGTATAATTCCTTAAACAATATACTTTCGCTGGTCTTTTCTATTTGTCACGTCAGCCAAAATATTTGATTCAAATACTTGTCACTTTAGAAATCAAGAAACTATATATCCATTATTTACTCATTTCAAAAAGAGAAAACGATAATTTAGTCAAAACTCCTTATTATTAATATTATTAAATGATTTTATATTAAACGTTTAAAGAACAAACATAAAGGATGGGATGGACTATGGAGTATGAAATCTTTACCCATCACAATTTAGTAATACTTCTTGTTGTTTATTTTTTATTGATTGGAATTTAATCCCCACTTGGTTTGGCTACCCACCAACCGCAATTTCCAAGGACCGAGGTGCTTAAATTGCGCCATACAATAGGATTTTCAAGCTCAAAGAAAAGAGAAAATAATATGCTGTAGTTGATATTTTATTTTATTAATGAGGTTAATTGCCTTATTTTAACTGTATGAAACTATGAATGATGAGTACAAAGTCTTTCTAAAAAGAAAAAAAACTTATGAGACTCTTTTTGTCTCGGTTGTTCTTTTGACCTTTTTCTCATATTATTATTTCATGTATTTAGAAGACAAGACACCGCAACGACAGATAAAAGTATGAGTTATCACCAAATTCACCGCTTAATTACGTTCAAACCAGTATTTTACCCTATCACTATACTAACTTGTTAGAGAAGGTTAATTGCCTTAATTTTTTCCAGATATTAATTTAACTTATTATCGGTAATTATTAATAATTATATTTTAAATGACCATAAAAAAGAATTAAATAATATTTATTTTGTTGGACCTAGCTAAGAGCAAAGAACACAATAGAAGGTTGTACGATCGGACTGTGATCTGATTTAATTACTATTGCATACAACTTGAATAAAAATATTTCAATACCCAACGAACAACTCAAACCAGGTCGTTTTGTTTTCGAATGATTGAAGAGAATAAATTAAAGCTCCATTTTATTGTTTTTTTTAAAGAAGTTGCTTCTAAATTAAATCCGTATTTTTCTTCTTTTTTTCTCTTGACAGCAAGCGTTCACACATCCTTTTGATTTAAGTTATTGACTTGGAGATAACATATGAATAATGAATCTACATTGATCGTAGTGTTGGTTAAATGATTAAAAAGCAGACCACATATACCCTTCTTTAATAAAAGGACTTTTTATCCAAGAAAAAGCAGAATGATATGATTCCATTACATAAAGAAAGAGATAAATTTAAAGAAGTAGCTTTCAGTTGTATAATGTTCTGCGTGTTGTAAGAATTTTGTAGGATTGTGGACCTTTAGTTTTTTTATAAATGTGGATATGCATGCAATTCAATCATAAATTCATATCCTATACGTAAAGCAAATCAGCATCGAATTATTGATAGTTTTTTTTATGTAAAGAATTACACATAGGCCACATGAATAAAGCAGATATTAAGTGAAAGAGTAACTGTACTTTATATTGAAGATTATCACTAGCTTAGTGAGTTCCTTGCTTTTTCTAAACAAGCTGTTATTCTCTTTGATATAGAATTATTGATTTTCTCATGTTTCTATTATGCCCATTGTTCAAAATTTCCTACTCCATTATATATTGAAAAAGCGTTTACCTAATTTAAACGAAGAAATCCAAGAATACTCTTATTCTTAGCAAATTTTCTTAATGCCAGGTTGCAGAATGCAGAGTATTCAATTATCTACAGTGCCTATATTTCCCCCCCAAAATTACTGCTCCTATTTATATCCCAGCTTATTTGTCACTTTCACGTGGTCATTCACCAATTATTATCAAATTAAAACGGATACTGATCCACTTAGAATATTTGAAGAAAAAAAAAAGGATATTTAAAAAGATTGTGAAAGGTAGTATATACTTAAAAAGTAGTAAAAATTTACTTAGACGACTGACTCTAAAAAGTGAAATATGAAAACTATTTTGAAACAGATGGAGCATATTGGTCAAATATTTGTATATTACTAGCAATGAAAGGGAACTGGATAAAAGAAAACATAAGTAGAAAACTATACAGTTGAAGAAGAGAGCTTAGTTGCGCTCTGGTCAAAGTACCACCGGCTATTGGACCTGTTCAAATCATGGAATATTGTGCTAAATTGGAATTCTCAACACTTAAAAAGAATGGAGTATTATATTTACTTCAATTAAATTAATTATAGATCCTCCTAATTTGGGAGGATTTTAAAAAAAAAATTTAATTTAATTATTGTTGTACTACCTTCTAAATGTGCTTTGTACGCGTATTGATGTTACTCGTGTACACTCCATATCTCTCAAACAATTCTAACATAATGTCCATCGAGTTAATTTAACAAGTGTAGTAGAGTAATGTTTACCAAAAATGTCCCATGTTAAGGAGAAGAAGCCACTGGCTAAATCCACATCAACTTGTGCATTAAATTTAATAACATACTTTTATGATCACATATTATGGCATTACTAAAAACTATACCATTTATATTAAATTTTTTCAAATTTCCTGTCCAATTAAAACTGTCAAATAAAATAAAATATAGGAAGTTAATTTAGAGTAGTATTTTGAAATAGAGGGGAGGTAAGTGTAATTACCAGAAGTGAGAAAAATGGAGAAACAAATCCGAACTAATGTCCTATGAAGAAGAAAAAAAAACGTTTATCAACTGGTCCTTTTTTCGTTTAGTACTTAGGTCCAAAATTGGAATTTGGAAACAGCAAAAACCCTCTAACCCTTTCTTCTTCGCTGTAAGCTCTGAGAAGTTTCATCCCCCGATATTTCAAGGAGATTGACAGCCACTTAATTTTGCCGCTAATTGCAGGTAATTTTGGGGGGGGGGGGGGGAAGAGGTGCTTTTATAGTATGATCCAATTACTTGTTTTGCTAGTCTTATTTGGGTTCTAGGGTCCTGAATTCATAGACCCAGTTGAATTTGTCTTCTCCTTTTACCTTAATTTAAGAGGATTTTTATTAGATTGAACTCGATTTAGCTTTATGAAGCTCTGAAAGATATCATCTTTTTCCTTACAAGCTGATCATTATGAATTTTTTAGGTTACCTTTTTTTTTCCTTGTAATGAAATTTATTAGTTGCAATTTATTTTCCTGTCCTTGTGTTTTGCCCGGATAAGGAGGGCAACAAGTGCCACTACTCTGCTGGGTTTTAATTAGATTAGCTTGCGGCGGATTATCCTAATTTCATCCTGGTAAAATATGATAAGCCTATTCCGAGCTTCCTAGATAAATTGGCTAAGGAATAGAAACGGTTTTTATTATTCAATTTGTGATGATAAGTAGGATTTTACCATTTTTAAGTCAAGATAATGATGTACATTGGAGGAAGAAGATTGCTAATGTTTTCTAAAAGAAAATAGAGAGAACACACTAAAAAATACTTCCACGCGCTAGAGTTGATGTATCACATCTATTCAGTTTTGGAATATTCATGCATTTTCACATGTATTCATCCAAATCTTCACACATAACTAGTAAAGTTTAGATCTCCCTAGGTCACTGTCTAGCTTCAAACGCTTAGCGGTTTCGTGCAATACTCTTTTTGGCTTGAGTTCAATCCTTTTTGGGGTTTTAATCTTTTTATCTAGAGTCATTCAAGACTAAGGTTTGCACTGAAAAATTGAAATGTCTTCTCATTGAGATGCTTCCTCTTTCTCATCAAAGTCAATCTTGTTGTTCAAACTGTGAAATCTTCTCTTAGAATTCTTAAATTTGAGCAGAGAGCTTATCTTATACCACTTATAAAAATTACAGTCTCTTTGGAGGAAATTTCCTTGTATTATAACCGCTCAATTTTCGTTAATTGCTACTAGAGAGAGTTCTGGTCAAATATTGACTTTAACTTGCAGCTGTTAATATAGGTTTATTCAACGTGGAATTTTGATATTATGCCTGCATGTCTGGCATTATAAGCATTTCTAGTCTTTAGAATTGACAAATGAATTTCCTTGCTAAGCTTTGGAAAAAAGTAAAGCTTGAGTCCATTGTGGTTTGAATCTAGAAAATTGACTTTCTTATCGCAAAGATCTGATTGAAATGTCCCTCCATTATTGACTCAATACCTATTTTCTTGATTCACAGTAGGTCATTGTTTCCTCCAATGAAAAATGACATGTTATTCCAGCCACTTTATCATATTTCTGTTACATGTCAAAGAGTATTGGTCACTTGGAAATAGGAATCGTATGATTTGTGGATGTTTTAGTAACAAGCAGTGATAGCTTCCGAACCCTTCTTGCTGTTCTACATCTAACCAGAAATATGATAAAGTGGCTGGAATAACATGTCTCATAACTTACAAATTAACTTGTAATTCTTATCCTACATTCTTCTGGTTATGCTAGGAGACTTACTGCATGGCTGGGCATCATAGGGTTCATCCTCTAGATAGGCTATACATAACGCTTTATTCTTTGAATTTAAAGATTAAAACCGGTGATACAGACCAGAATAGGCGATAATATATTTTGGAAAAAATAAACTCAATAACAGTGTCACCTGGGTATCGTATGCTCTCATCTTGAAGTAGAGCATCATGGAATTATCTTGCTCAACTAAAACTATAAAATGTATGGAAAAGGTAGAAAAAATGAAGGCTTTGCTTTAGACATGGGGAAAGATTTTTCAGCATGGCCCTGAATCTAGTCTTGCAAAGTTTTGTATAATGGGAAAAATGCTATTTGTGGTGTCCAATTTGCTTAAAAATAAATGCTGTACAATGGTGTGTCATTACTCTGTATATTGAGTTGTCTGGAACAGTATTCTTTGTATCATTCATTTGTTTATTTAATGATAGAACTACCTCTTCAATTTTTCCCCTCTATGATATATTGATATATTTGAAATTATTAGAAATTGATAAAACTGGTAAGCAATTTTTGAAGTATGTTACCTGGGATTCACTTATTCTTATTTTTTGGAGGCATAGGATCATCTGTGCTTCTCTCTTAACTGTCTGATGCGATTTCAGATGCTTTCTTTTTTCGGTTTTTCCTTTTAGACCTTTCCACTCCTCTGCTTGTTAGATTTCAATGCCATAACTTTCACATTGACATTATTCTAGTCTGGGCTTTTCCATTCTATGAATTGGAACTTATCTTTCATTCCTGAGTGGATCCCTCCTAGCTCCCTCTGCATCCCAACACCCCAAAAGAAATATTGTAGTAGATATTAATTAGAACTCAACGAGATATTACCTCAGAATGCATGCAGGAATTTCTAATTATCTTTTTAGGGTCCTTTTGTTTTCATGTGTGGATTGGGGTGGGGAGATGGCATGAGTTAAAATGTAGAGACTGAACAAAAGAACCTCAAAAATAAACCAAATTCTGGTTGGATGAGTATTTACCAACTCAGTACTGTTCACGGCGTTACATGAACATGACTGACTGAGCTAACCAAAATGTTGTTCTTTGAGAACTCTGCTTTGGTCCTCTACTAGACTATGACAACCAAAAATGACTTTTTTCCTGAGGAGCTGCTTAGCATGGTTGCTGATGCTTTTGGAAGTTTGATATCACTAGTTGTTTATGCTTGCAGATTAAATATAGAGAGAGATATGCAGGCTCGTAGAGGACTTGAGGAAGCTTCAGCTTCCAAAATGCGAAAAAAGAAAACATCACAACAAAAGGCTCCAGTGCTGCAAAAAGAAGGGAATAAGGCAAAAAGGATACAAGATTTTCATGCGCTGCCAATTCAAAATGGACTAAAACCCACCAAAAGAGTACCATCAAACGAAGTTTCCCCATTATTCCAACATGCCGACAAATCATCACCTGAATTCTTGCCGGATACTTCCACTTCCGGAAATGAATATCGGGCATTAAGGAGAAAGTATCTATTGCTGGAGGAAGAAAGTTTTGCTCTTGGTAAAGAATTGAGTGAAGCCGAAGATGAGATTAAGGCCCTTGAAGACGAGAAGCTTACACTCCTTGATGAACTAGTTGTGTTGGAAGGCCTGGTTGATCCTTCAGACATTCAATCCCAAGGCCAGCGATTATGATGGTTTAAATCTGTGTTTCGGTACATTGGGGATACAGATACAGAACTGTGTACAACTATCCAAGTTCTGTTAGCGTAAAATTGAGATGTCATTTGGTAGTGGAGATTGGTTGGTTGTTTATTGCGTGAATACCCAGTCTAGAGTTCCTCCCAACCCCTTCCTTAATCTTATTTTCAAGTTCTCTTTCTGGATCAAACACGGTTCAAGTTTTCTTACTCAAACTGCAGTGGAGTCTCTACAAGATATTCCATTAAAGAATGAACTACTAGTTGAGATAGAAGCAGAGTCAGACACAGAGAATGCCAAGCCATAATGTAAAATTACAAGACAAGTAAAAGAATTTGCAATATGCTGTCAAGTAGCTACGAAAAGTTAATAAGCTAACTAGGTAACAAGGACTAAAACTCAAAACTAGTGATGAATGGAATAAAGAATTACTAGTTATTCATATTCTAAAACTAATTACAAGTATTCTACTAAGAATTTGTGTTGATTTCAAGGAATTATCAAGAGTGATACTGAATTCTTGCTGCTGCAACCATTTTCAACAGCTACTTGTGCAGTATATGTTACTTTTTACCCCAATAAATAGCACTTGACCTCAACTATACCATCATACCCATGTTGGAATGTGCCACTCTGACGACAAGTGGAGATGTTACCCATGTTCTTTTGTTCCTCCATGTCAAAGAACCAAACACATATCCCTCTGTTGGTGCAGCCACCTTGAAGTTCACTGTAAAATTCATCTTCTGGTAATATTTAGTGAAGGCTAATCTTCGGGGAACCACAGTGACATTGACACCCATTGGGGCAAAGACGACTGCCTTGTAAATGCTTCTTGCTTTTCCCACGTTAGTAACAGTTCGAGTTACTGAATATGTGCTTCTTAGGTTTGGTACTGTGATGGAGGGATAATTTAGTCCATTTGGTGACGCAAAGGTTTGATCACAGGTGCTGTTGTCCCTTGTAATCAGATGCAGAGATTTCTCATCATAACCAATTGAACAAAGAAATGCTTTGTAATCTGCTGGTTGTGCATCGTATATAAGACCAGGATCCAGGACTTTTATGGGGTTAACAAAGCCAGAACCAAAGTCAAATGGATTAGCCCTCTTCCCTTCAGGATCCACTATTATGGGTTTGTGATGCTTATCTGACAGTTTAGCTGGCATTAACATTCACGAGAGTATATTATGGGCCGATTTTGAATGCACTGAAGGCTTGAACGAAAGAGTTAGATTATGTAAAAGCCTTTATTCTACCTGTTGTCATGATCGCGGATTTAATTGCAGAGGGAGACCAAGATGGATGCACAGCTTTTAACAAGGCAACGACTCCTGTTATGTGGGGGCAAGCCATAGAAGTTCCGGAGAGTATGTTGAAGTTCAACTTAGTAGAAGCTGCTGGAGACCATGCTGCCAGGATATTTAATCCAGGAGCTGCAATATCAGGCTACAAAGGCAAATCAGCCAGGAAATTACTTGCAAGAAAAAGCCAAATCCTCAAATAAGGTAAGAACCAAAGAAAATGCAAAGTAACAAAGAACTAATCCACAACCACATTGAAGATCCAGGAAGTAAATATCAGGATGCGACATAAAAACTTTGTTGGTCTACATTATAAAGGCAAAGAGAGATCATTGTTGAAAACAAGTGGCAGTTGAAATTAAGTCCCTACATTATTACTATTTTTAGCGCACAAATTACCTTCAAAATTTCTGGTGTTAGAGAATTAGGACCTCTAGAAGAAAATGCTGCTACCCGAGGAGCAGGTTGAGCTCCCAAAACGGTTTTAGCAGAGAGAATCCTTGCCATGGGGAGGCTGTTAATATAATAAGATGTGAGATTGGGATGAGATGATAGTTAACAACATCAAAAAGTCAACAAGAAGGAAGTGAACCGTGTATTATTAATGTAAGCTAGGATCTTGTTTCCAATCCTTTTCCCAACAGTTGCTGCAGGAATGACAAAAGGGATGGCCACACCCTTGTCTGCTTCATCTATAAGGATCATCCCAACTCCACCGGCTTCTTTAACTATAATGCTTTTCTCCATCTTTGACTCACTTGAGCTTCCAGCATGTAGGCACACAAGAACCTTCCCTTTGGCCTTAGTTCTATTCAAAGAACTATCTAAGCAATAACTAGTGGAAAAAAGAGAGGGAAGGAAAAAAGTAAATTAAGATAATTGTCAATGCATACATATCTACGTTTAACAAACAGCGAAAGTACCTTATGATTCACCTGGATTGATAGGGAGTGAAGTATCCAGCATAAGCTTCAGAAGCAGGTATAATTCTTGTAGATGTATTCATTTGTGATAAGCTAAGACTTTCACCCTTCCAAATATCAGAACTTAATTTAGAAAATAGAAATTGAATAATAATATGTAAACTTGTCGAAAAGTGGGATTACCTTGAGTCGAACTCCATTTCCTAGTACAATATCAGAAGTAAAATCTCTGTCGGTTGAACTGGCTGCAACTGTGATCACCCAAGGAGCTAAATTTGTGGCTGAACCAGTGCTGCCTTCATTTCCAACTGAAGCGACCACAAGTATTCCGCGGCTAACAGCATGAAATGACCCCACAGAAATGGCATCATTGAAATAATCTCCTTGGGGAGCATCAGGGCCCAAAGATAGAGAAATGACATGAACCCCATCTCTAATTGCATCATCAAATGCAGCCAATAAATCAACATCATAGCAACCAGAACTCCAGCAGGTTTTGTACACTGCTATCCTGGCCATTGGGGCACCACCTCTGGCTCCTCCATTTGCCAAACCTTTGTAATTCATATTAGCTATGTAACGTCCCGCTGCTGTAGAAGCTGTGTGACTCCCATGACCAGAACTGTCCCTAGCAGACTTGTATAACATGGTCTTCCCATTTTCTTCTTCAGCTTCATAGCCGCTCATATAATATTTAGCCCCAATTATTTTCCTACATAAGACAAATTGTTATTGCACTTATCATCCATATAACAAAAGAAGAGATGGTTGGCAAACAAAAGAAAACCTGTTGCATATAGAGGCATTGAATGCTTCCCCTGATTGGCACTGTCCTTTCCATCCAGCTGGCACTGGAGGCATGTTGGTATCACTAAAACTTGGAGACTCAGGCCAAATTCCTGTCTCATTATACATCTTAAGAGCTTAACCTCAAGTTCTAATTCTAATTAGCTCGAAAAACAAGGGAAAGAGGGAGAGCTGGGGACCAGGTTGAGGATAAACTGATAAGGTTGTGAACAGAGTTAATATTTGCATTGAAACATGTCACTCTAATGGATAGTGGCTCTTCCCATAAAGTAACATTTACAAATAGTTCAAGAACACTATCACGCATAAATGCAACTGGTAAAATATGGGAAGATGTGACTAAGAAGAAATGGGAAGTTAAGAAATTGCATAAACTTGAGTTTTAAATAAAACCTAAGCAAACATATTTCATCATTCGAAAATGATTGAAACAAGAATTGATTGATGAAAGGAACTACTTTCCCCAGGTTCAGCCATACGTACTGAAATGACAAACTTAGCACTTTTTCAAAGTCATGTTATCGTACTCTTCTTAAGAAAACTTACAGAGTCAAGAGCCCTTTTAAGTGACAATACATTAAATGAAGGGACCAACTTAGTTGGTGCATTCCATCATTAAACGATCATATCTTTCACCTAACTAGGAAAAGATTGCTGGAATTTAAGATAACTAAAGCTAAAGGAACAGAGAAATCACCTGTATCAATGAAACCAATGATAACATTAACTTGGTTCTTGGTAGAAAAACCTGGGATTTCCATTGTTTCATCATCACTGAGCCCCATAAAATCCCATGAATGTGTTGTGTGTAGGCTCCTCTTAGTATTTGGAAATACAGATACCACTCCAGGCATTTCTGTTTTATTTTAACATAAAAGAAAATTTTCTCAGTACTTATTCGTATTATATCATTACCTTTGTCCAGTACAAACCATTAAATATGTAATCAACAGTAAAAGAAAAACATTCAGGGGCTTACTGGATATTTCAGAAGCCTGTGCCTCAGTCAACTTGGCTGCAAAGCCTTTAAAACCATGCCTATAACTATATACATGAGAAGTCTTGGCCTGTTCAACACTGTAAAGTTACCATTTCAGTTTTTTGCCAAAAGAAACAAGTGCAAAACCCAATGAACCAGCTCAAAAAAAGGGAAAAAAAACTCATAGCTAAAGGTAACAAGAACTAACCTTCCTTTATGAATAGCAGTCAGCATTTGATGGTTTTGCCTCAAAATTTCATCTGGGTGTTCATCACCATCTTTGCTTCCCATGTACACCACATATAACTGGAAAAAAAAAATCAAGAACACAACTTCACTAACTATTCATTATTTCAAAACATCATTCAAATAACATCCCCAATAACAACAAATAAAAACCCATGTTACATATTTCATACAGACAGACTACAGAGCCAAAGTTTATTTACCTTGGAAGAAAAGCAGAGGCTAATATCTCCAAGAAAAACACAAAGAAACAGTAAAAGAAGAGTCTTTTCTGAAACACCCATTCTCCTATTTTGTGGTATGAGGCTAGTAAATGAATGTGTTATCAACTGTAAGCCGAAAAAAGATGGGGGTTTTATAGCAGAAACGAGCAGTACAAGACAGAGAGAGAGAGAGAGAGAGAGAGAGAGAGAGAGTGATTTGAAATAAAGAGGAGAGAGAGACACAGAGAGAGAGAGATTATTCAGTGTCACAGGTATACTGTGCAGTATTTCTGTTACACAAAACTGGTTAATAGTATTTAGTGAAAACAGTATCCAAGAATTTGATGGCACTACAAAAACCAGGCGTCACTCCCATATATTGGAAAACTCCTCCACTCACACACAATTCACAAAGGGCAGAAAAAAATGGAAACGTGAAGACTGGACTGGAGAAAAGGGAGTTAGTGGTGAAAATGGTGGCGTTTGCTTTTTAACTGAACCAACACGAGGGACTCCACTACCTAAGGCCTAAGCAGCAACACTTAAGTCAGTAGAAGACCGTTAAAAAGATAAAGATATTCCATTCTTGTAATGATATTTAGATTAACTTGTATTATTCTATGTAATCAGTAATGTATTTTAACATAATTATGACCGGTGA